ATAAAGAGGAGAAATGGGAGAGGGATTTGTAATGACGGTGAAACAGTTATATGTGAAGCAGACAGAGAGAGCCGGCTGATGGTTGCTATGTTAGCCTGTCTTACCTGGCCATGACAAAGTACTCTCTCTGCTCAGGCTAATTTGTAGACAAAAACCAACTGCTGACATTCTGGAGGATAAGGCGCTGGCAGATCCCATGCACAGAGGGCCCATTCCCATAAAGGACACAGTATACCCCACAGAGCGGAACTGCAAAAAGCTACCAGCTCTCCAACGGTCCTAGCTCAAATGATGGCAGAGCCCTCATGACCCAGTCACCTTCCACAGGATCATTTTGTTTGTTTCAGATAGTTTAAACTATGCAGCCTTGGTTAGCCTGCAGATTGCTATGTAAGAGAGCCTGCCATTAAACTCAGAGATCCGCTCGTCTCTGGTCCCAGGATGCCAGGACTAAATGTGTGCACACCAAGCTCTTATGTCTTACTGCCAACACACATGGAACTAGATTTCCATAAATGTACTTTGGAGGGACACAGATACTCAGGCGGTAACTATGTTAGAAGCCGATAAATCAAAGTTAAAAACAGCCTCTGTATTTGTGGCCTGATACCCAGATAATACTATAGATAATCCTATACTATAGTATAGTATCTATCTACCTATTTTTTTAGACATTTGGATAGTGACATGCATGAGTCAGATACCTAATCCATCCGGGCCTAAGGCAGTATTATGCAATAAAAGATTCTGAGACCTACAGCCAACATTAGGCAGAACTCAGGGAGTCTTGTGGAAGAGTGGGTGGAGAAGGTGGAAGGAACTGGAGGAGACAAGAAATCCACAAGGAGACCAACAGAGTCAACTACCCTAGGCCCATGGGGGCTTTCAGAGACTGAAGCACCAAACAAAGAGCAGGCATGGACTGGACCTAGGTCCCCAACATATATGTAGCTGATAAGCAGATTGGTCCTCATGTGGGTTCCCTAGCAAGTGGAGTTGGGGCTGTCTCTGACAAGGACTCTACTGTTTGCCTTTGGACCTCTTTCCCCTACCTGGGCTACCTTGTCTGGCCTAAGTGGAAGAGGATGCATTCAGTCCTGACACAAACAAACATGCCAGAGTGGGTTGGTGAGGAGGGGCTTCCCTTTTCTAAGGAGAAGAGGAGGCAGACAAGAGGAAAGAGGATGGGATCAGAAGGAGAGGAGGGAGGGGGTTTCTATTGGGATGTAAATTGGATGAATTAATTTAATTTTTAAAAAACCAGCACTGTTTCTGTAGCAAGAAACACTAGATCAGTGGTATAGACAGCAGTTTCCTGACAGCTCACTCACATTTTACTCCAAATGAGCTCAAGTTTTGCTAACAAATGAATCACCCAATTTTTGTGGGTAAGACATGGTAAAATTTCTAGCATCTATAGATAGACTACAGGAAGTGAAACTTTTTTTTTTTTTTTTTTGCTTGTTGAGTGATGAAGGTCCTGGTTTACACATGTGTAATCTCCAGTTATTATCATAAGTTAAACATACCCAGCAGGCAATCCTATAGTTAAACAAATTAGTTTACATAGTTTGAAATTCAAACAAGGATAGAGGAAAAAGTTACAGAATTCTAAGTCCAGAGAATGATTCAGGAAGGTTTGGTCCAGTTATCAGTAGCTATTTATGACCTGGAATTCTAATTCTCACGTGCCTGTGTTTTACCATAAATTAATGTACTTTTCACCCTGCCATTGCTGGAACCAATTGAAATTTAATGTTATCATCCACACTATATTAATTATGTTTAAATTACCCAAACTCTATAATACCAATTGTCCTGAATTAACCAGAGGCATAACGGATAGGTAACAGAAAATACTCTTTTCTTCTTGATCAGCTTTTAGACTAATAAATGGTCTGTTTATTCCAAATGTATTAGTATACTTTATATACTAAAGAACTCAATCTATCTAGATGATTTTGGTATTAACCATTTTCAAAATATAAAATACAGCAATATTTTCTTCAAGAGAAAATTTCCTTCCACCAAAAATGTGAAGGCAGGTTAACGTTAAAAGTGGCCCTGAAAATGTTAATTATCCCCAATTAGAGTTTTCAAGACTATATTCCCACAAATCACTTAAGGATCTAATTTTTGTTTATTTGTTTTAAATATGGGGTCTCAGCTACATAGCTCTGGTTGTCCTGGAAACCACTATGTAGACTCTATTAGCCTCAAACATAGCTGCCGCTGCCGCTGCCTCTGCCTCTGCCTCTGCCTCCCAAGTGCTTGGGTTAAAAGTGTGCACCAAGCCTAATCTAATCTACTGATTTATTTCAATAGATGTGTTTATGTGTTATGCATATAGGTGTTTTGCCTGCATGTGTGTTTGCACCACAAGTAGGTGGTGCCACAGAGGCCAGGAGAGGGCATCAGATTCCCTGCAACTGGTGAAACTGCTGGGAGCAACGTGCGGGGGCTAGGAACTGACGATTTTCTGGAAGAACAGCCCATGCTCTTAACTATCAAGCCGCAATTCAGCATTTTAGTCTAATTTGTGAATCAAGTATCTTACGGGAGAGAGGAAGTGATTCCTGTAATTCATCTCTTATACCTGTTTCATAATAAAGGTAAAAATGTTAACAGAATATATATACATATTTACAGAACATATATATATTATATATATGTATATATAAAAATTAGGATATACATTCCCTAACAAACTTTTTTCATAATCCCCAACAGAATTATAACTCAGGTATAAAAGTTATAATAAAATTAGTACTGAGGTGGGGGTGGAGGGAAAAAAGCAGAATAACTTTATAATTGTTATCATTAAAATCTCACAGAAACATTTCTATTTTTTTTCCTGTTCCTAAATACACTAGAGCATCAGAACCCTTTTAAAGTATAATAATACACAATGAGATTTTGTATAGCCCCTGATGTTTGAGAGATTAATCTAGTGTCAATACTGTAGAGTCAAATGCTTAAGTAGGAGTTCAATATGATTTTATAAAATATTTTATTTGTGTGTATCTTTTAGAATATGTGTGTAAGCTTTTAGAACAATAAGGCTTGAAAGCATGTACATTCACAGGAGAGCAACACCGTAGCATTACAGGTACCAGCCATTAGCTGACATGAAATGAATCTAGCATATTAAGGCAAAAAAAAAAAAAAAAAAGAGCATCTATGTCCTAAGGTTAGACATTGTTTTGTGAAACTCGTTTCATTAATGTACATACACCCTTACTAGCAATACTATTTTATGAAACTCATTTCATTTCTGCACATACACCCTTAGCAGCATGAATTGAGTTGAAAGAGAATATTTCAAATTAGAGGATTGTGGGTTTAAAAAAAAAAGTTTTTACAGCACTGGTATTAAGGAAGTGTGCTTGAAACCAAATGTCTAGATTATTGCAAGTGGATGGAAGACATTGGGTCTATGCCTTATAAAATATGGCTTAAGCCAATATAATAAAAGATCAGAACAGACTAATGTCATCCAAATTGGCTCAAAAACAAAACAAAACAAAACAAAACAAAAAAAAAAAAAAAACAAAACTGTGTCTCTGAAATACCAAAAGGGGATTAAAAGTAAGTCTCAGTCCACATGGGACCATCAGTATGCAAGTGAAAATCCTCAGCCAGGGGAAAGCATGATGGGCCTCAATGAGCCTCCACAAAGCAAGGTGGAAATCGGACCAAACTAGAGCTGGACAGAGAACAATTGGCTAGCCTATAACTACAAAGTCCTTACAAGCTACATGAAAGGAAGGAAGATAGCCATCTTGTGATAAGTGAGAATGAGAGCGGTGATAAACAATTATATGTAAGCCCTCAGTGAACCCACCACAATAATGCTATCTCTCTTGCAAACTGCAGTTAGATCGTCCTTCTGGGCTGCTGCCATCCAATTGGGATGGGTTGACTAGGTGGCCAAGGCTGGAAGGGGAGTGCAAGAAGATATTCTAGCCCTAGAGGATATTCTAATGTTCTCAAGGCTTCATTATCCTAGTGTGGGAAAACGCCCCCCCCCCAATCTTTTCCAGATAGAAACCAAAGCACCTTTGTTATCACAACTAACAAGAGCAGGTAACTAGAGGTTAAAGTTAAGATGGCCTGACGATACCTGCCCAATGGCCAGTGAAAACTAATATTCAAAATTTAGGGGGTAACACCTGCTTGGTATTCAAACAGCACTTAGCACATCAGTTTCTCAGTAAGACTAAGAGGGCAAGTGAGGCTCTTGAAAGACCTTGCTTGAATTGTCTGTGTACAATTTTTGCTTGTTTGCTTGTTTTTAGATTTTAATTGCAACTCATTTTTAAAAAGATGTACCGCCTAAAGCATTTTAAGTTAAATGGACAAAGGTAAAACTAAACACACATAGGGACTGGACTTACTATCTATTATTAAATTTGTCTATGAGAAAATGTGTTGGTTAAAACTGTATTTTAAAAAATGCTTGGTAGGAATACACTGCCCAGAATGTTTCAACTAGCATGTATGTTATGTTTCAGTTAATGTTAAAGGGAAAAAAAATAATAATTATAGGGTGCGGTTCTGAACTCATGTCTCTAAGCAACAAACTCAAAGTTAGATGATAAAAGTTCAGATTTTTCTCACCACCAGAAACTCTCAAATTCAAATGTTGTAACTTCCTGAATTTTCACAAAAAGAATTCTAGTTCCTTACGTAGTGTAACTTCAACAGCAAGTCATAACTTACTAACATTTTCTTTAAAAGAAAAAAAAAGAAAAAAAAAAAAAAAAAAAAAAGAGGGGGGGGGGGGGGAGCAACTTGATGGAGTTCCCAAAACAGCAGAAAGGAATTAAGTCTATGGTAAGAGTATTTTCAACCTTAATTCTTGGGCTTCTGAAAATCTTAATTAGGTAGACAGGAATTTGGGCTTGGCACTCCCAGGTTCAGACGTGGCAGGATGCTGAAACAAAGTTTTTTTTTTTTTTTTTTTTTTTTTTTTTTTTTTTTTTTAACCTTTGAGTCATATGCCACAGGCACACCAGATCCGAGATACACTAGTCCTTAAGTCAACAGGTCCTCAAACAGGAGGGTGTGCAGCTGGTGAACCGCAGCTCTATTTCCTCCTGCCACGAAGTCCTGAACTCTGCCACCTTCAGCCGGAAAGTGGGCGCAGCTCCGGCTCCGGGAGTGCACCCGGAAAAGTGCAGAGCGCGGGATGCCCGCGTCCCGACCACCGAGCGCCTTCCAAACCAGCCGGAAAGCTTCGAGAGGGCTCGGCCGCCGCGGTTTCCAGCCTAGCACCGTCTGGGCTCGGCGGGGAAAGTTGCCCGGCCCAGCCACAGCCCTCCCCTATCGCCGGTTTGGCCCATTCGGTACCCGGGAGCGGGCAGACAACCTGCTCGCCCAAGTTGGCGAGCCTTGCGCAGCGCCTCCGCGGGAGACCCGCCCTCCCGAGGACCGGCCGGGGGACCAGGGGGACTTTGTGGGACTCCGGCTGGAGCCTCGCCCCGGGGACTGCGGGGGCGCACCGGCGACAGGCGCGACCCGTGTCCCCGAGGGGGGCAACTGAAACCCGCTCTCGAGACCGCGTCCAACCGGCCGCGGGCAGCTCCGGGGCGGCCCCGCACCCTGCCCCTCGCCGGGACCCCGACCGGCTGGACGCGGGCTTACCTGGCAGGTGGGCAGGGGCAGGGCGGGCGGGAAGCGGTGGCCGAGCCCGGGGCTCTGCCCGCCGGCCCGGAGCCAAGTGCAGGTGGCGGCGCCGGCGACTCCGGTGGCCGTGGTCACCTCGGCCGCTCGGTTCCACTCCTCCTCCGCCGCCGCTTCCTGCCCTCCCGCCGGGCCTCCCGCGTCGCCGAGCGAGGCCGCGCCGAGGCTCCTCTTCCCCGGCGAGTCTCCCAGGTGAGCTCCCGCCGGCGACGTCGGCAGGGGCGAGGCCGGATCCCGCGCCTGCGCGCCAGCCCCGCGCCCCGCCCCGGTCCTACCTGTGCGCTCCAGGTGAGCCGCGGACCGGCCGGCCGCGCGCCGGGGCAACCCCTCCGCGGCCCGCGCGCCGCCCTCCTGCCGAGCCCCGCGGCCGCCGAGCCTGCGCTGCCCCGCGCGGCGGCTACCTGGTACCCAGAACCCGCAGGCGGGGGACCCCGCGGAATCTGAGCCGCACTCCCCCCCCCCCCCCTGGCTCCCCCCCCTCTTCGCGTGGTCCAAACCCGGGGATGCGACCCTCCCCCGACCCCCTCCCCCCCGGGACCACGGTGGGACCGTGAGGCTTCCTCGCTGGGGCTCAGCAGCTTGTCACCAGTTAGGTCGCTGAGCTTCCTTCCCCTATAGCCTTGATTTCATCACTCCACTCACTTGAGCGCAGCTAGTGGTTTCCGTTTCTGGCCGCGGGCGCTAGGGTAGGGAAGCCTCTCGTCCCAAGGAGGCGCCTCCCTCTTCCAAAGTAGAGCTTCTGGTGCTTGGTCAAGCTTCGCCGATTTGAGGTCCAGCACCACTCCCTCCTAGGTTGCGATCTATTGCAAGCAAACCAGTAGCTACAGGAGAGGGGTTAGCAGCGGCGGCCTCGGGAGAATCCCTCTGCCAGGGTTTGGAGAGAGAGTTTGTGGTTTCCTGGAGAGGAATTGTTTTCGCTGAAGAGTGGTTTAAAAGCCTAACATCTGTTCTGCAAGGTGAGAACCGACACTCTGAAAACATGTTAGGTTTTGTCAGGGTGTTTAAGGTGCTTAAACCGTGTTTTCCCCCCTTTCATTTTCACTGTACCTTCTGTTCTTGGGACGTTGACACCCAAAACCGGGACTTCAAGTTGCTTTTACACATTTCTATGAACTTGTTATTTGACTATTCTCGAAAGTATGCAGGGGACTGGGAAAACAGCTGAAGACTGTCGGGCAACGTGTATGACCGTGTAGTGATAGGTTTCCCATGAAGAGTAACAGAGGCCTTCCTCCTACGTTCTGACACTCAGAGAGCTTATTTTCTAGCTTGCGTGTGACCTGGGACGAAGGTTCAAAATCATTAGTAACAGCATCAACAGGTGTTAGTTTTACTTGGCTTATGTGCAACATTCGTTTTAGTACAGTACCATTTTATAGTTTCACATCTATAAGATAACCCCTTGTTTTGCATATTTCTGATTGTTTTATAGGCATCCGGGACTTTTTGTGAGACATTTTAACATTAGCATTTCAAAGCATTTTTTAAGTTCCTCCTTCCTTCCCCTCCCACCTGAAAGATTTAAGAGACATGTGTATAATACTGTGTATATTACCATGCTAACTTTCTGTTGTGTTTCCATAGGCCCAGAACTAAACACATTAATTTCCTGAATTTGTTTTCCTTTGTTGGGTCTGCAACTTCTTTTGCTGTTTGTATTTCAACGGAGAGAGACTGGTGCTCACCTTTGGGTGGGTTAGGAAGAAATCCTAAGCATATAACCACACATTCCTATCCCCTTGCTGTGCCCTGTCCACCCTCAATGAGGCAGAACTCTCATTCCTCACCAGGAGGATCAGAGTGACGATTTCCAATGAGAAGAGCAGAACCAGAAAAGACGGTATTGGATGGGAATCTATAGTCACAGGTCGAGATGCAGTGATGTAAAGACTAGTCATATCAGAAAGCAACTGGGAAGAATGTCTAGGGCTGGTTGACCAAATTAGGATGAGGTCCAGAGTTGCGAGGTGAGTGGGCAGAAAAGATGTGAAAGGTGTCCCCAACCTACAGGAAGAAACTCACTGCCAGTTTACAGTGACAGAGATGGTGGCTAAGCCATCAGTATTTCTGAATCTAGCATATTCCACCTCACACAGTATCTGAACTATTGTTTCATGTCCCTCTGAAAGCAAAGTCTTAAAATTAATTAAAAAATTTTCTTCCTCACACTAAAATTAAAATGCTACAGGCCAAGAAAAAAAAAAACTATTATTTTTCCACAATGTTTAACATCCTAAGTCTAAGCTAAAAGAATCTTGGAATACCAGTCTATTCAAAATTATGAAATGAAGCATTTATTTCATAGAAGCAAAATTAACATTTCATCATAAAATAAAATTCAGGAGGACTAGTGTATACATATGTCTCTGTAGTTTGTGACTAGTGTTTAACCATTTCTGTTACCAAGATCAATGTTTGATGTGTAGTAGCTTCTCAGGAAATATGTGCTAACTGAAAAAGCCACTCTAATACCATGAAAAAAAATGCGTAAGGCATCTTGACTACAATATAGATGCAAGGAATGGCTGGCTTAATATCACATATAGAGAAGCAATCCTGGGCAAGAAAAAGTAGTGGGTTGGTAAACTAACCCACTGGTTAGTTTGAAACATGGTTTGAAAAACGTCCACTGTTCAGACACCTTTCTTTTATAAGACACTATGTAAAGCACCTTCTACTCCCACAGGACACATTCCTTTCTGCAATGTGAAATGTGAGTATGTTCAAAATTCTTTTACAGTCAAATTCGTCTAAATGCCATACTGTGAGAGTCATCATGAAAAAAAAAAACTTACATAAAATAATGGACAAGGAAGAAAAAATTGAAATAATTTAAATAAAAATTAAATTAGTAAAAATTAATTCTAAAAATAGTATGGTTTAATAAATAAAATGGGGAACTTGTGCCCAACATGCTGTATTTTTTAGCTTGTTAATTGTTTAATTGCTGATTCAACAGGACTTATTCACTGTAGTTTGAAACATATGCCTTGGCTTAGACTTTAGAACAGTTTTACCTCATGGAATCCTCCTTCTGAGCTCAATGTCTAACTGAGAGATTTGGCTCAAAGACCAAACAGATTGAAGTAATTTCTACCAAAAGGAATAAAAGAGCTGAAATCCTATTGAAGAGAACAGTGGTGGTATGTCAGCAAAGTGACACAAATGTATGAGCATTTTAAAAATAATAAAGCAGTATAATCTGATATTGTACTAGTCAACACGATGAAATCATCAGAAGTACATTATTCATCTTTGGACCTTTGGAATTCTTACTGTATGCATTTTCTGACTTGAGAAAATTATCAGAATGACTATCCCATTTTGAAAAAAAATATAGACTCTTCCATGGAGCCATTTATTGACTTAAATATCAGCAGAACTATCTAGTTAATCTTGTTTCCTTGATGATTGGCACATAGTAGGTGCTCAATAAATATTTGATGAAATATATTGAATAAAGAGCAGAGTTTCAGGCTTTTAAGCATTAGCATAAAAGCAAAAAGAAGTGCTGTGCTGAGTCAGACTAATATTTGATCTAGCTAGCTCTGAATTCCGATGGTGGCACAAAAGGACACTTCATAGAAAAATATGATAATGGCCTTGCATGATGTTGACCTCTGAGATCTATTCCAGGTATTCCTGGCTTATACTTCTTCTAGACTGACCTTTCTTTTTCAGTGAGTATTCTTCATTGCAAAAGAGTTCATACTCACTTTAGAAAGATTTTTTTTAAAGCTAAGAGAAGCTACTTTTTTAAAATATTAAAAATTGTTCATAGTAAGATGCATGTGTGTGTGTGTGTGTGTGTTTGTATGTGTGCTGGATATTGAGTTCAGGGCCTCTTCCCATAACAGGCAACAACTGCTCTACCACTCATGTCTCTTCAGCCATTTTCTATTAAATTAATTTCCAGGTGTTTTATTATTGAAGACATTGTGAAAGTAGAACAATGAATATAGAAAAAAAATCATGTTAAATAAAAAGGCGAGATAACGTGGGGATTTGTTCTGCAGCCACAATTCTTTTCTTTAATGTAACTTCCTGAATCAATAAATTCATTTTGATATCGTTTCAAGTGGCTGTCCCATATCTCTTTTTCTGGTTCTGTCTGTCAATTATTGTCGTACAGTGAAGGTTGCTTGCAAACTTTGCCTTTTCAGACAGTTCTATTAAGACAGCTGGTGGGTACCACAAAAAGAGTATGAGGATTGGATGGTATAGTGGGAAAGATACTGAGGACTTTAGATTATAACTAAGAAGTTGAAGAGTAAAGCACAAAGACTTTATTCTCGGAAAGACAGAGGTGGACTTGTGAGACACTTTCCACACCAAGGGCTAGTCAAAGAGGTGTCATTTCAGAAAGTATACTGGAAAAGAGCTAAGCCAGGAGTGATATCAGATTTCTTCAACTCGGTAAAGACTTGATGCAGTTACCTCAACTTTGTAGTCAGGATCTCAGGCTTCACTGGACTCTGATGTGTTTGGTTCATGGAAAGATGGTATCTGTGATCCTTTGAAAGAGAATGGTCCCCATAGGCTCATAGATTTGAATGCTTGGTCAGGGAGTGGCACTATTTGAAAGTATTAATGGGTGTGGCCTTGTTGAAGGAAGTGTATCACTGGGAGTGGACTGTGAGGTTTCAAAAAAAACCCCTTCCTAACCTAGAGTCTTTTGCTTTCTGCTGCCTGTGGATCTGGATATAGAACTCTCGGTTGATCTCTGAGCACCATGTCTGCCTGCATGCGGCCATGATGATAATGATAAACCATTGAAACTATAAGAAAATTCCAATTAAATGATTCTTTTACATGGTCATGATATCTCTTTACAGTAATGACTAATACAGCAGCCAACAAGGCCTGTGTGGCTTTGATGGTTAACTTTGATTAGCAGTTTGGTGGAATTGATAGTAACCATGGTAACAAGTCCTTTGGAAATGCCTGTGAGGGCTTTTCTAGATTAGGTTGATTGAGATAGAGTGGCCTACCGTAATGTAAGCAGTGTCATTCTATGGGCCGGACTCCTGAACTTTTGTGAACAAAGAGAAGAAACAGTATTCATTCCTCGGCTCTTTTCCTGCTTCTGCAGCTATGGTGCCTTTGCCAGAGTGGACTATAGTCCCTAAAACTTTGAGCCAAAATAAACCCATCCCCCCCTCCTTTACTTTCTTAACTTGCTTTTAACAGGCAGCATGATAAGCAACTAATGTCATTGCCTGAATGGTCTTATATGTGTCTTAGAAAAATGTCATCAGTGTGTATTGTGGAACTCCATCCTCCAAGGGAACGATACAGCCATTATTGTCTTGAAATCAGAGTAATTGTGATGATTCAATCTGGAACTTCACAAGAACCAGCCTGGCTACATTCCTGAGCTTCTCTCCAGCCAGACATAACACTGTATGTTGTCTTGAGAAGTGCTAGAATATATAGAAAATGGAGTGTTGACTAGACTCTACTATTGGAACTTTCACGAGTGTTCCCCTATGCTAAGTTGAATTTTGGCCATGAACCTGACCAAGAATTAGTTACCCAATGTCTTGTAAGTAATTTCTCACCAATGCTTTTATAAGTAACTTATTGGTTTTCCCAAGCTTGACTTGTAAGAAGTTGTTTCTTTAGTTTGTTGGTGTTGTATCTAGAATGAATGGACATATCCCTTCATTTCCCCAAGAAAAGTCATGAAAAACATAAAGGTCACATGTGGATCCAGGATTTGGCAAGTGAATGACCACCTTCCCTTACCAGAAGTGATCCAGAGGATTCAGCTGACTGAAGGGAACCTGGGTTACCTTTCAAACCCATTCTTCCTCTTATAAGATACATTCTCCTCATACAGTGTAATATCCTGTCCCATTAAGTATTTACTTCTTCCACCAATAGCCATCTCTCCTGGGATAAAAAGTAACCTAAAGCTTTGCCTTTGAATGTGTGTAAGATGGCAAATTTAATACAAATTCTTCATGCTCCAATATGTAAGCACAGTCTTCACACTTTAACTTTACTATTCCTTCCACCAAGAGATGCAACTCATTGTCTTTACTATTGACCTTTCAGTATCTGTATAATTACCTCAACCAATAAAATGTGGTGAAAGTACTTTTATGAATTGCAGAACATAAGAGAAACATTTTACCTTTTTCATTATGTTCCTTGGAATGTACTCCTGAGTTGGCTATGCCCCAAACAGTGTGGAGTGAAAGAACATGTTGGGGGAGGGAGGGCAGGGATAAAAGAGGTCGAGAAGGACATGGAGAGAAGGAGAGATGGGGGAGAGAGACCCCCTCTATCCTATAAGTTCTAATTGAACATAGCCCCCCTGCCAAGTGCCAGCTGAGTACAACCTAGTGAATCACTCTAGGCTATTACTTACAGAAGAACCATTTGAGCAGCTTAGAAAGTCATGAGAAATGTTAATTTGTTGCTGGTTTAAGCCAGCCCATTTGGGGGTTCATTTTAAGTACTTATGGTTGATATTTCAACAGACACAAACAGAAAGCTCCTAAGGGGCAGAAGACTGGCGTTATTAGAAGGAGAGGAGGGACAACATTGAAAGCATGCCTGTAACACCTCACAGTTTCAGAGTATCACAC